AACCCAAGTCCATTGCTAGTAAATATTGTCTGTTTTGGCCCATTACGTATCGCTGTCAACTTCATAGTTTTTAAAACGGGAGAAGTTTCAATACCCTTATAAGGAACACTTCGTTCTCCCTCTCCAACCGATGTGGAATCTCACAATCCATCCCCCTTGGGATCTAGCCGTCCTCGCTAGCACACCACTCGGTGTCTGGCTCTGATACCATTTGTAACCATCCAAGTCCACCGCTAACAGATATTGTTTGATTTGACCCATTCATATCGTTGTTAGACTCACGATATTTAAAATACGTTTACTAAGGAGAGGTTTCAACATGTTTATAAAGAATGCTTCATTCCACTCTCTAGATCAGGGAAGAAACGAGAATAACAAATAGGAGTGGACTTAGTGCGAGGAGAGAATGATCTGTTGTGTTGTGAGTAATGGTGTGATTCATGTTGATTGCAGGTTATTTTTTCGATGCGAGACGAATATGTGCCAGAATATGTGGATAAGAAAGCATTGGTTGCTAGGTAAACTACATCTCCTTACACACTTGCAAATTCTATGCTACGAGAGATAGGGTTTTGGAGAGCATCGTAAGCTTGATCCGTATTGATGTTTTGATGTTGTTATGAGCTGCTGATGCAGGGTGTGCAAAGCAATGGGAGGTGCAGAGAAAATTGAAATTGAGCATGCCAATCATTCTCTCTCCAACAGAGTTGATGAAGCAGTGGAGGTCATCGTGGACTTTGTCCGGAGGGAGGGCCCTAAGGGCTGGGATGATCCATGGCATTAGGAATTCAACATTCATCCCTATTTTTTTTTAAGATTATTTACCGCTTCTTTATTTATAATCATTTATATAATCAAATAGATTACAAAGGTTATATATGATACGTAACAGTCTAAACCTATCACTAGTAGATATTATCCGTTTTGGCCTGTTATGTATTGCCGTCAGTTTCACGATTTTAAAACGTGTCTGTATTTTGAAATCCTACATCGGTTGGAGAGAAGAACGAAACATTTCTTATAAGAGTGTGAAAATCTCTCCCTAACTAACGCGTTTTAAAATCGTGAGGTTGACGATGATGTATAACAAGCCAAAGTACTTGAACTATTATATGATATATATAGTAAATCGTAATGAAATACTAAATATCCTCAATAATATATGTCACAATTTAGTGCAACTTATTTTAGTTTGAATTAGTTATGGAATATATGATATTCGTAATCTTTCAGAATATATTAGTTAGGAAATATATCTTAGATATCGTAATCTCAGAATATATTAGTTAGGAAATATATCTTAGATATCGTAATCGAATTTGAATAGTAGTATATTTTATTTTATTATCAGGATTTAGTTAGTTTATATTTTCTTGGTAGATATTATTCAGTATCTTGTATCCTATTTAAAGGTCGTGAATATCAATGAAGATAGAACATTCGATCCCAATTTTTTTCCTCATTCTTAAATCTGTATTCTTTCGAGTAATAATATTTTCATATCTATGCACACTTTTGAGTGGTAGATATTGCGACAATATCGAGTATTAGTATTCATATTAATAATTGTGGCCTATGAAATAAGAATTATTTTTCCCACTACCTGAATTGATTAACGTGACAAAATACACGCATACACAATTTAAGTTAATCTAATAGTGGTTCGGGTCGGGTTTTATTGACTCGGACTCAATAAATGGTCCGTCATCGGATTGGACCCCGACAGGAAACATGTCGCATGGGACACACGTGCCACAGCTACACTCTAGTGATGCCCGCGCGTTTAATTAGACTAAATGACGAAACTACCCCTGTCGAGATCAACTTCAATTATTGTCTGTCGGTGCCTAACCGCTGGTGTCTGAAAACGGTAATTTTGGAATCCAACGTTAGGGGTAAAACCGTCCATCAAAAAATTGTCTTTCTCCCAACTTTCAAGGCATTTCTTTAACCTTCGTAGCTGAAGATCAATCTCTTAGAAACAGAGAGATTTCTGGCTTTTTCGAGTACACCCCGTAAGTGAAAATTCTTCCCTTCTCTCTTTAATGGTGTTTTGGGTTTGCTCTGTTTTTTGTTTTGGTTTGTGGGTTTATTGAATCCGCGGCAGTTTCCGATGCCGGAAAAGGTGTCGCTGCCGGCGACGTCAAATCCATGGCTTTTCAGGCCGTCGCATCTGGTTCATTCCCGATTTGGGCTTCTAACGGCAACGGTTCTTCTCAGTATGCTGGCCGTTTGGAGTATCGGTGGTCGTAATATCAAGACATTCATCAAAGTTTCAACCTCCCCTCAAGATTTCGTCTCTGCTTCTTCCAATTTCACCGTTACCCTTCAGAGTTTATCCGCTAATGATTCTTACAAACCCGAAAATTACTCCGAATCGGTGTTGATTCAGTCGGTTCCGCCGCAGAATTCCACCGCCGAACCTCCTGATGGGTCCGGCGTTGAGTGGTTTTCAGCTGAACTCGAGCCGAATTTCACCTCCCATCTTCTCGCTCTCTGGTTGGTTCCCGGCGGTGAGCCCTGCAGAGACTCGAAGACGGCGGATATCGCTATCTCCGGCATGGAACGTCCGGCAACGGTGGAGCTTTCAACAGGGGATGTTCATGAATTTCGATTTCAAGCTCTAGATCAATCCGGTAACCCTCGTTGTTTAGGTGGAGACTATTTTGAAACTGATCTTTCAGGGGATTCGTGGAAATCTCGGCCGTTTGTTAAAGATTTTGGTAATGGGTCTTACTCGTTTTGGCTTCAAATGCACCCTGATTTCGCCGGAGATTATAATCTCACGGTGATTCTTCTGTTTCGACATTTCGAGGGGCTTCGATTCTCCCCGACCCGATTCGCCTACGATCGGGAGCTTCGGAGAATCAAGGTTCGATTTGTTAAGACTAAAGTTGTGTTGCCGGAGATTAAAATGTGTCGGAGCTCTGATTACAGTAGAGAGATTTGGACCGGACGGTGGACTCGACACGGTCGAAATGACGACTGTAAGATCAGCAATGACGGTCGCTACCGATGTTTTGCGCCGGAGTATCCTTGCCGGAGCCCTTGGTGTAAAGGCTCATTGGGGTTGTTGGAGAGCAATGGTTGGGTTTATTCTGTACATTGTTCGTTTAAGATGTTTTCTAGTGATTCTGCTTGGGATTGCTTGAAGGGAAGATGGATCTTCTTCTGGGGTGATTCGAATCATGTCGATACGATAAGAAACCTTCTCAATTTCGTGCTCGGTTTGCCTGAAATCCCAGCAGTTCCGAGGCGATTTGATCGAAATTTTTCAAACCCGAACAACCCAACTCAAACCGTTCGAATTACGAGCATCTTCAATGGGCATTGGAACGATACACAAAACTATCAAGGCTTGAATTCATTGAGGAATGAAGGGTTCAGAAACTTGCTTCACAAGTACTTCTCGGAGCGAACCGTTCCCGACACGATCATCATGAACTCGGGCCTCCACGACGGTGTTTACTGGCTGAATATCCGAGCTTTCACAATTGGGGCAGCCTATGCTGCATCTTTCTGGAAACAAGTTATGGAATCCATTAAGCAGAGAGGGTTAACAGTCCCGAAAGTTATCTACCGGACCACGGTTGCCACCGGAGGCTACGCTCGAACACTTGCCTTCAATCCAAACAAAATGGAAATGTTCAACTGGGTGATGCTGGATAAGTTGAAGGAATCGGGGATCGTCAACGGCGTGATCGACAACTTCGACATGACGTTCCCCTGGCATTTCGACAATCGGTGCAACGACGGTGTCCATTACGGGCGAGCACCAGCAAAGCTGAAATGGAGGGACGGCGAGATTGGGCACCAATATTTCTTGGACCTCATGTTAGCTCATATTCTTCTCAATGCACTCTGTAATTGATTGATCAAGAAATTTTTCCTCAGAATTTTGGTATTTTTGTAATATCGTTCAACCCTATCGAACCATATCTGAATTAGAAGAATCCCGAGCATACGAGAACTTTCAAAGAATTGAAAGTTACTATTTATACCAACAAGGTGCATTTTTTTTTATGGCTCGATCATATGTACTTTATGGTTAGCTGTACTTATAACAATTCTATGTTAGGTGACCTCTTAGAAATTTGCCTATGATACATGTGAGTGAGAAAGGGCTCGTGTTAGTTTGTGAAGATGGTTTTCACTCTTAAGAAGCAAGCAGTAGGTGACGTGACCATGTCACTGGGAATGTCGGGGAGTATCAGACACCATCAACGAGGTACAAATCAAGTTGAGGCTGTCTCTTCTCCTCTTATTTTCAGCCAACGTATTGTACGTTTCTTACACAATGTCTCTCCTCTCCTTAACTTCGACTAATTAATTGTACGATTCTAATGCTTGTGTCACAAAGGAAATGTAACAGCACGAGCTATGCTAGTAGATATTGTCTTCTTTCAGTTCTATTTCGAGTTTTCCCTCAAAGTTTTAAAACGCGTCTATTAGAGAGAGGTTTCCAACTTTCCACACCCTTACAAGAAATGCTTCGTTCTCGTCTCTAACCAATGTGGAATCTTACAATCCACCGCATTGAGGCCCCGTGTTTTTACTAACACACGTCTGGTGTTATTAAATAAATACTAACGTAACCATCACAACATATTAAACATGACACGACATCCTTATTTAACTCACAAATTTAAGGGTTGTGTCTTGTTTTTTTTGTACGAAAATGTTACGTAAGCGACATATGAACATCAATAATACGCTTCAAAATATAAATGCTAAATTAATAAATAAATAACATAAAAGGACAAAAAAATTGAATCGATAGTTTCTATTTTGCATTTGATTAATTTTATAAATTCACATTGTTGGAATTGGAAGTTTATGAGGTTGGAACAAAACGAACGACATGTAGGATAGCGACATTGATTTTCCTACATGTCGGTAGAAAGGCACGTGACGCGAGACACGTGGTCATCATTTGAGCGTTGAAAAACGACACGTCGGATCAGGGTTAAACGTTGAACCGTCAAAAGAAAACGGAGGTCAACGGCCGAACGGGGACTGTTCTTCAGCTTTCACACAAACTGCTTCTCCCAATTTCTCAGGAAAAGGAATCCCCAAATCTTCGTTTCTTCTCCGCCGATCTCTCAATCTTGAAATGGGTATTTCATGGAGTAACAGAAGAAGAAACATCCATCTTCAAAACCCACCTCCGCCGCCGCCGCCGCCTCCTCCTCCACCGCCCTACCTTTCATCTTCCTCTTTCTATTTTCCATCTGAACCCCAATCTCTTTCTCCTACTCCACCACCACCACCGCCGCCGCCGCCGCCACCGCTGCAAACCCATCATTTCACCAATTCCCACCCTCCTCCGCCGCACAGCCATCCTTACGGTCCAACTCCTCATCCTCCTGCCCCTGCGCCTCAATCCTATTACTTTTCCGGTGGGTACAATTCGTGTAATTATGGGAACTCTACGATGGGGCGTTTCAATTTTCACCCTCATTATGCCAATCAGAGTAATGGGTGGCCCCAAATTCGGCCGGGCATGTGTCCGCCGATGCTTCCATCACCGCCTTTGCCTTTGGTGGAGCATCGTCAAACGAAGAAGGTTAGAAATGATGTGAATGTGCATAAGGATACTTTAAGGATTGAGGTGGACGAGCAGAACCCTGATCATCATTTGGTTTCTTTCGTTTTTGATGCTTTGTATGATGGAAGGTAACTTCAATTTCTACTTGAATTTCACTTAAATGAGTTTAGATTTGTAAGATGGGCAATAGAATTGTTTGAATTGTTGTTCATGAAGCATAATTTTGTAGATTGCTGGTGATATTAGAAGACTTGTAATTTATTCAGATTACCACATAGTTTCTTTCATGTGTTATGGACGAACAGGCTTGGGCATTGTTTTCAGATTAGCATTGTGATGAGTTTTGGTACTAATTTTGATATCAATTAAGAACTTTTAACTTGGGATTAACATTGAAGAAGTGAGGAGAAGATGGGGTATTTGACACTTAAAGGTTGGGAATTGGGAAATTGTGCTATTAGCTTGAATAGTTGGGTGCTCTGATTTGAATGCTGTAAAAGTTTGGTGTTCCATTATATTTCTTGCAAAAAAGGAGTTAAATCAAGCTTCTTGTCTGAACTTACGATGTTTCTTTAAGTCTGAGCCTTAGGGGTGGGCGCGTGTGAGATCTCACATCGGTTGGAGAGGGGAACAAAGCATTCTTTATAAGGGTGTGGAAACCTCTCCCTGGTAGACGCGTTTTAAAACTGCGAGACTGACGGCGATATGTAACGGGTCAAAGTGAATAATATTTGCTAGTAGTGGGTTTGGGCTATTACAAATGGTATCAGAGCCAAACACTGGGCGGTGTGCTAACGAAGACGCTGAGATCTCACATTGGTTGGAGAGGGGAACAAAACATTCCTTATAAGGGTGTGGAAACCTCTCCCTACCATACGTGTTTTAAAACCTTGAGGGGAAGCCTAGAAGGGAAAGCTCAAAGAGGACAATATCTGTTAGTAGTAGTCTTGGACCGTTACAAATGGTATTAGAGTTAGACACCGGGCAGTGTGCCAGCGAGGACGCTGGCCCTCAAGGGGGGTGGATGTGACATCCTACATTGTTGGAGAAGAGAACAAAGCATTTCTTATAAGGGTGTGGAAACATCTCCCTAGTAGACATGTTTTAAAACCTTGAGGGGAAACCTAGAGAGGACAATATCTGCTAGCGGTGGACTTTGGCTGTTACAAATGGTATCAGAGCCAAACACTAGGCGGTGTGCTAGCGAGGACACTATGCTCCCAAGGAGATGGATTGTGAGATCTCACATTGGTTGAAGAGGTGAACGAAACATTCCTTATAAGGGTGTGGAAACTTCTCCCTAGTAGACGCGTTTTAAAACCGTGAGGCTGACGGCGATACGTAACAGCCCAAGCCTATTACTAGCAGATATTATCCTCTTTGGGCTTTCTCTTCTAGGCTTGGTCAAGGTTTTAAAACGTGTCTACTAGGGAGAGGCTTCCACACCCATTATAAGGAATGTTTCTTTCTCCTCTCTAACCAATATGGGATCTCACAATCTACTCCCTTGGGGGCCAGCATCCTCGTTTACACATTGCCCGATGTCTGACTCTGATACCATTTGTAACAGCCCAAACCCACCTTTAGCAGATATTGTCCTCTTTAGACTTTCTCTTTTCGGCTTCCCCTCAAGGTTTTAAAACACGTCTACTAGGAAAAGGTTTCCACACGCTTATAAGGAATGTTTCGTTTTCCTACCGGAGCATTTAGGAAAAACAATCAAGGAGATAGCCGCCGTATAGCCGGCAAGGAAATTGTTTGCATCATGAACATACATTTCTGTTTCCTTTTTGTAACTCAAATTGTTTGCATCATGAACAGCATAACCATTCTATTCTTCGCCAAGGAAGAGCTCAACTGTAGCTTTGTTCCAGTATATCCCGATGCCTTCAAGCCAGTAAAAGTCCCATTTCAGAAGGGTCCTGCTCAGAAATTCTTTCAGCCTGTGGGAACTGGCTTTGACTTGGGATTTTTCGACTGCGACGACCTCTCGAAACCTTCACCTGCTGAAGACATTTTCCCTCTTGTTATATCAGCTGAGACTTGTTCGCCCTCTCAGTCGGACGACGAACGAATTGGTGAGCCTCGACGAGATAACTCACACATGCAAATCACTCAAGCTGTTTTGGAGAAGAAAAATGGTAGTCCTTTCCAAGTAAGAGTGATTAGGCAACTACTATGGATTGATGGAGTGAGATATGAATTGCGCGAGATATTCGGAATAGGGAGTTCATCGGCAGAAGGTTTCGACGATAATGACTCCGGGAAGGAGTGTGTGATATGCATGACTGAACCGAAGGATACCGCTGTATTACCATGCCGACATTTGGTAAGACTCCATTTCGAGTGTTTATTCCATGTTGTTGTTAGGAACCACGACTCTCCACAATGGTATGATATTGTCCACTTTGAGCACTAGTTCTCATGGATTTACTTTTGGTTCCCCAAAAGGCCTCGTACCAATGGAGATGTATTTCTTACTTATATAAACCCACGACTATCCCCTTAATTAGCCAATGTGGAACTCCCACCCAACAATCCTCCCTTCAAACGAAGTACATCATCATAGAGCCTCCACTGAGGTCTATCGAACAACCTCCCCTTAATCGAGACTCGGCTCCTTTCTCTGGAGCCCTCGAACAAAGTACACCCTTTGTTCGGCACTTGAGTCACTTTTGACTACACCTTCAAGGCTCACAGTGTCTTTGTTCGACATTTGAGGATTCTATTGATATGACTAAATTAAGGGCATGACTCTGATACCATGTTAGGAACCACGACTCTTCACAATGGTATGATATGTATTCTTTACGTATAAACCCATGGTCACCCCTTCAATTAGGGACTCCCTTCCAACAATCCTCTTTTCTGGCTATCTTCTATCTTCTACATTTGATTCCTTGCTTATCAGTCGCGTGTGCCCATTGCTTTCCGGATAGCTGGAATTGATAGTAGTGTTTGACGCGTTTTATTTATAAAAAAAAAACAACTTACATTAAAAGAACACTAGACACTTGTCCCTCCCTTCTTCTAATCACTTGTGTACTTAAATTTCCTTTCTTGTGTTCCTTTGTTTGCAGTGCATGTGCACTGATTGTGCCAAGGAACTGAAGCGTCAATCCAACAAATGTCCTATTTGTCGTCAACCGATCGAAGAACTTATCGAAATCAAGATAAACAATAGCGACCCGTGAGAATTACCTGTTCATCCTATGTTGGATCGCCCTGGTATGGCTGTCAAATTCTTTGGTTTTTGATGTGTCATAGTCCCACATACTGCATTCTTTACCCCCACACACACACACATGTATATGTATATTACTTTGTTCCTCCCATACACAATACAAGTGCATCTCATGTCTAACTATCGAATAACGCGCCATACCGGTCGTCTGATGCCCGACTTTCTACTGTAATGTATGATTCAAACACTTAGCGTTCGTGGTGTTTGCGTGCTGTTAGTACTCGTGTTGATGATTGAATACAAGAATTGGGTGTGGTTGAATCTTAACAAGCTTAGAAGGGCTAGTTGTGAGTTAGTACTCGTCTTGTTCTTTTGAATGATGATGTGGGAGTTGTATGCATTGTTGGTAACATGCTATAAATGGCCTTTGCATTTGCCTCTCCATTTATGAACCTCTATTTATTGAACATGTGGTGTTCCATGTGATGCATATGCAACTGGGTCACTGTGATAAGCTTGTATATTTGTTGCCTACCTTGAGGTAATTGACTCCAAACTACCCTTTCATCCATAGCCTAAGCTCGCCACTAGCAGATATTGTCGTCCTCTTTGCGCTTTCCCTTCTGGGCTTACCCTTCAGGTTTTAAAACGCGTCTATTAGAGAGAGGTTTCCATACCCTTATAAGAAATGTTTTGTTTTCCTCTCCTACAAATGTGGGATCTCACAATCCATCCCGTTAGGGGCCTAGCGTCTTTGTTGGTACACTGCCCAGTGTCTAGCTCTCCACCACTAGTAGATATTATTTGTTTTTGTCCGTTACGTATCACCGTCAGCCTTACAGTTTTAAAACGCGTCTTTTAGGGAAAGGTTTCCACATCCTTATAAGGAATGTTTTGTTTTCCTCTCCAACAAATGTGGGATCTCACAATCCATCCCCTTAGGGGCCTAGCGTCCCTGTTCGTACACTGCCCAGTGTCTAGCTCTCCACCACTAGTAGATATTGTTCATTTTTGTCCGTTACGTATCGCCGTCAACCTTACAGTTGTAAAACGTGTCTCCTAGAGAGAGGTTTTCACACCCTTATAAGGAATGTTTTGTTTCTTTCTCCAATCGACCTAGGATCTCATAGTTGCCCTACGAATTAAGGGCATTATGTTTAAGGGTTGTTGGTAATAATTTGAGATGCCTCTTATGACAGTCGTCGAAGTGCGTTTTGTTTGTATACGAGGGAAAAGAAAGGCAAAAGAGCAAAAGTTACTCGGGTTTCATGTCGGTTTAGGGTTTAGGGTTTTGAGAAAGACGCAATAATTGGGTCGGAATTGAAGAAAAGGGTAAAAGAAAAGGTTGATACTTGGGATGGTAATGTCATCCCTTAGTAGGACCATCCATTATTCTTTTTCAGATCTTTTGTCTCCATATATTGAAATGTCTACATTGATGGATAATCTTAATCTTACCCTCACAAATTTTCGAATAACTTTTACCCAAATATTTTTAAAACATATTTAACGTTTAAGATCTACTCGAAACAAAATTAGATTTTTTACGAGGGAGTGAAACCAAATCATTCATGGACGACTTTTCACTCGTCGTTTCTGTAAGTGATTTTAAAATAGATGTGTTTTATCCCAAACGACTTTATTAGAGAATAATCGTTTTTTATTTTATTATAAATTATTGAGAGAGAAAATAGCGAAAAAAAAAATATTAATATTAATTACCAATTTGAACATAGTTCAATGAAACAAGACATATACTCTCAAGAGAGTAGTAATTTTATCTGTTGAGTTAAAAAAAGGAATACAAATGTGTTACACGAGCTAAACAATCTCGTAGGTCTTCCTTAATCTATAAAAAAATGCACTTTTTTTTTAGAAGTGTAAAGTTGGGTCCCTAATGTAGGGGTGTGCCCTTAGACCAACTTTTATTGGTCAACTTTGACCTTAGCCTTTTCTCAAAATTACTTGATCTCTACTTCACTATTATCACATACTCTACTTTCAACTCATGCCTTAAATGTCCAAAAGATGCTTTAATTTGATGCTCTTTTTTTCCCGAGAGGGGTGAAGCACAAGCCTCAATTTATACCGAATGAACTGAGTCAGGGCACGTGAAGTACAAACGAGATTACTCATTTTATTTGAGACATGTTATGTTAAGCACTAAAGCATAGTAAAACCTCTATAGTGGGCAGGTCGTACCTTGTAGCTATCGAGCGAGCTTTTTTCTTCTTTCTTGAATAGCCCCAAATTGGTCCGTCGAAAATCATGTAAATTTTTTTCTAGCATTTGTCCTATCGTAGGGACTATGTCCTTTTCCTAGACCTCTTGTGATAGCTCGAGCTATTAACCCATTCTCTCATGTACTCTTTTGAGGTAGGCTCGCTGGATTAGGGAACCACCCCCTAGTCCTTAAGGTCGATGCACTCCAAGGCTTTATAGAATTGACCATACTTGCTTTTATCTTACTTGTGGTCCCTTAACTCCATCTTCTTCTATCTTGCCATCGTTCACAAGATGGGCTTAAATCTAGCTAATGGAAATGTTGGTCGTCGTTGTGTCTATCTTCCAAACCCTTGGGTTGTTTTCTCCGCTCGAAAGCTTATATAGACCTACAACAAGATTCTCGTGTAAACATAATTCTAACGATTAAAATGCTATAAACCGAACGTGTAACCAAACAATATCTTGTACTCGATGTGCTATAATAATTAGCACATGGAATTGAGAAGGGGCAGACATCTACTTTGCTTTAGCCACAAATCAGTCTTGTCGGAACCTCATCACAAAAAAACGACACCGTTTTAGTCCCAACTAGCTCATTCAGCCAAGCCAAGCCGTCTGAGCTCGGCTCGGCTCCAAAATAAATTTTTAATTTTGGAGGGTTTTCGAAATCTCTGCAAAATAAATAAAAAAATAAGGAAAAAAAGAGAAGAGGGGGTTCCAGAATAAAGAGCTCTGCCTCTACGTTTCGGTGCAGCCAGCAGCGTTTTCCGGTTCTCCTCTGCCCCCGTTTGGCCTTCTTCCGCTTTGTTTTCTTTTACATTTTTCTCCATATTTCTTGTCTCTCTCTCTCTCACCCAGAAAAACAGGAACAAGTGAACTACAGACACCCCTTTAACGCGCCTATCCCATCTCTGCTTCTTTCTCCTCCTCCTCCTCTGTTCTCAGATTCCTACTTTTTCTAGATTTCATTCGTTGAGTTCCAAGAGAATCACTAACTAAAAACACCCATTTCCCAGATCTCTCTCTCTCTCTCTCACTCTTTATTTCACTTTGAGATATGAGTAAAGAAGAGTTCTTGAAGATCCAGGTGCTCTGTTTTCTTCAGATCTTCTCTGTTCTTCTTTTTCTCTGTCGCCTCTGTTTTTCCAATGTTTGCTCACTCTGTTTTCGCTGCAGAAATGTGTTTTGAAGGTCAACATTCATTGCGATGGATGTAAGCACAAGGTCAAGAAAATCTTGCAGAAAATCGATGGTACTCTCTTCATTTCCCCTGTTTTTCTTGTTGCCTCTGCTTCGCCGTTAGCTTGATTTGAACTGTTTTGGGGTTTTTTTTAAGGCTTTGAGAGTGATGGGGTTTGCGTGTTTTTAAATTCTGGGGTTTTCTTGTGTGTTTTTCTCTGTTTTGTTTAGGGGTTTTCACCACTGAGATCGATGCAGAACAGGGGAAAGTTACAGTTACTGGTAATGTGGACGCCTCTGTACTCATTAAGAAGCTGTTGAAATCCGGCAAACATGCAGAGGTTTGGGGCGGACAACCGGGAAACAACAAGAATCAGCAGAACAATATAGCTAGTCAGATGAAAAACATGCAAATTGACAATGCTAAAGGTGGAAATATCAAGGGTCAGAACCAGAAAGGCGGCGGCGGCGCTGGCGGCGGTGGTGGTGGTAATGGAAACAACTTGCCGAAAGGTGGACAAGGGCAAGTGCAAGGGCTGCAACCGGCGCAGCTTCAGCAGCTACAAGCGATGAAAGGGTTTCAAGATCTGAAGCTTCCACCTCAATTTAATGGCTTGAAATTGCCTGTTAAAGATCAGAACCCGAATCAGGCGAAGGCTGGGAAGTTTAATTTGCAGGAGGGTGACGATCTGAGCGATGAGGATGATTATGATGACTATGATGACGAGGATGATTATGACGATGACGATGAGTTTGATGATGATTTGGGTAATCTTCACCTACCTCCGGCGAATAAGATGAAACCCATGATGGGGAATGGCCAGATTCCGAAAATGATGATGAATGGGAACCATCCGGCGGTGATGAATGGTCCGGCCGTCGGTGGAAATGGCGGAGGTAACGGCAAGAAAGGCGGTGGAGCTGTGCCGGTTCAGGGGAATAACAATGCCAAGAATGGAAACGGCGGAGGAGGTAAAGGAAATGGTGGTGGCGGTAGCGGTGGAAGCAACCAAAAGCAGGGCGGCGGCGGAGGAAAGAATAACGGCGGTGGTGGTGGAGGTGGGGTGACTAACCAAACTGGCCACGGTGGGGGGAATGGGAGCAGTAATGGGATGAACAGCGGTCAAAAAGCGGCCGGTGGGGCGAACGGAATGGGTCATGATTTACAAAGCTTGGTCGGTGCTCATGGACTGGGCATGTCCAATTTGAGTCAAATGGGCAACATGGGTGTCCAAATGGGTCAAATGGGCGACCGGCCGATGGGCCAAATCGGCAATATCCCAGCCGTTCAAGGTCTTCCCGCCGCAGCCCCAGCCCCAACCATGAACGGCGGCAGCGGCGGCGGTAGGTTTTCGCCACTGGACATGGCCGGTCACCCTTATCAACAGAACCCACAATACATAGCGCAAATGATGAACCAACAGCAACACCACGCGCTCGGACACCAACCAATGATGTACGCACGGCCACCACCAGCAGTAAATTACGTACCGCCGCCATATCCATACCCGCCGCCGTACCACCCATACCCACCGCCTCAACCAGAACCCTACACGTACTTCAGCGACGAGAACCCCTCAAGTTGCCACATCATGTGAAACCCACCATACCACCACCGCGTCCGGTGGCGTCGACGGCGAAATATCAGATCAAAATCTGCAAAAGCTAGTTGGGAATGGTCATCTCTTCCAAATTTAGCCTTTATCATATTTCACCCTCTTGTTTTTTTTTTTTTTCTTTTCTTTTTTGGAATTTGAAGCTGGATTAGAGTCTTTAATCATATGCTTAAGACAAAAAAAAAAGAGTAATTATAGATAATTAAATTAAGAAGTTTGGAAGGGCAAGTATGGAAAAATGGTAGTAAGCTTTTTTATTTTTATTTTTATTTTTATTTTTGGGAACGCCATGTTTATAAGTGTTTATATGTTATATGAACAACAATAAAAGAAAATCGTGAATGGGGGACTCCTAAATTCCCATTTCTTTTCTTTCCCTTCCCTTCTTTTTTCCTATTTATTCTTCCCATTTTAACCCTCTTTATTTACCTTATTTAATTCAAAAAATTAAATTAATTCAATTTTATATTTTAATACCTAGGGTTCTCGCTAGTATAGCACCTAGTGTCCGGTGGGTTCAACGAGGAATCTACTCTCTTTGGAAGCCTCCCCTCCCAGTGTCTTCGATGACACCGTTCGGTGAATAATATCATTAGTAACAATCTAACCTCTAGACAGTGAAAGCTCTTTCCACATGTTTGGTAACAGGGATAGTGTGGAATTCCAGTTCGGGACAAGGGGTTTGGTAACAGGGATAGTGTGGAATTCCAGTTCGGGACAAGGGATATTCTAGATAGTGTGAAAGCTCTTTCCACATGTTTGGTAACAGGGATAGTGTGGAATTCCAGTTAGGGACAAGGGATAAAAACAAATAGATGAAAGAAGAGCGTTTTGCCAAAAAAAGAAAAAAAAAAAAAAGAAATTAACACAACAGCTATTTTTGTAAATTGTTTTTTTTTATATATATATTTTATATATAATCTATAAAATCTAACGGCGTTGACACGAATTCTGGTACGTGTCCTGTCTATTTTCTTTTTATTTCTTTTTTAATATTTTGTATTTTTTGGATATTGTGAGGAAAAAAGAAAAGGACGGAAGCGAGCCAGACTCGAAAGCGGTTCCCAATCGAGTGCTGGATATGTCACATGATGATCATGATGAAACCTCGAGTAGGGCCCACACGTTTGTTTTTTTAAATAATATATAATTATTATTTTAAATTTTAGGGGAAAAAACCCACTGATTGGTGTTGGCCCCACCTACTTTTTCACTCAGGTACTTGTCTGTTTTTCTTCAATTCCCTATGAGTGGTGCACCTTATCATTCCCTACGCCCACACCCACCTGATCCCACCCCATCCTCCATTATTCAATAATTTATCCTTTTTTTTTTTTAATCTTATATTTACCTCTTCAATGTTTATTTTAAAAGGTTAAATTATATTTGTTTCGTTTTTAATATCAACCTTTTAATCCAAATATTAATTATTAAAAATTAAAGAAAATTAATGTCACAAGAAAGACAACTTTAATTTTTAATTTTGAAAGGTTCGAAATCATTAATACATATTTATATCATTTCTCTTATATTTTAAAAAACTAAATTAAAAAAAATATTCCTAATATTTTCTTTTTTAAGGTTTCAATAAAAAAAATTAAATATTTATTTAAAAAAGTTTAGTACTCGTAAAATTATTTCTAAATTTTTTAATGTTAATTTTAAAATATGTATAATTTTTATTTTGAAGGTAGTTTTGAAAATTTTAATTTAATGATTAAAAATAAAAATAATTTTTATTGATTTAACCAAATTATTATTAGGAGAGAAAAGAATTAAAATTAGGAGGGGTAAGTTGTGGAAAGTTTTGCAGACTGTTGCACGATTGGTGGCTGACACATAGCCTGAGACTGCATTTAATGCTGCTGAGGCACCACCTCTGTTTGGTTCCAAGGATACGCTAACACACTCCCGGAATAAAAACCAATTCTCTCTTTACGCCACGTGTCCTTCATGCTCCCATCTCCCACCATCCAAACACTACTCCTAATATTATCCTAAATTCATTTTTTTTAAATAATAATAATAATAATAATAATTAAGTTATACTTAATCACTAAACACGACAAATTAAAATTTTAATTAAAGGAAGAACAAAAGAAATAGTTCTTTTTGTAAAGATTATTAAAAATTTAATTCGTTTGTTCTTTGTTACGGTGGAAATGGAAATGAATCCCATATATATATTTTAAAAAATGTTAAAAGACATTCGATTTGATATTTTACGAACTTCCATTATGGGCAGTCCCGCGGATCACGGACCCAATATTTTCATATGTTTCTGCAGCGGAGCGGTGGAGTAACAGGAGCGGATTGTTAGATCATTACAATTTGTTTTGTTAGATTATTATTATGGGAAAAACGCCATTGAAAGTGATGCTTTTCGTCACCTGTTCCACTGCTTGAATTCCGGGTTCAATTCAATCTCACTTAAACAGCGTTTCTCCCAGTCAACCCGCAGCTTTTCCCAGATTTGACGTTTTCTCCCCGTCTTCTTCGACAAATTCCCTTCACTTCCATCCAAATCCCACACCATGAAGTGGGTATCAGAATCAAGCCCCTATCCTACGCTGGCTTGCTCAATCGCTCGCCCATTTCAAAATGGAAAGCCTAAAAGTGGTCAGTCAATCAAACTCAGTTGTTTTATATGCTTTAATTATTCAACCCATTTGTGATTTGAGTATGTTGCCCACCACCTGTTTGATTAAATGCCTCTGTGAATTTGTTGTATGTTGCCCTCTACCTGTTTGATTAAATGCCTCTGTGGATTTGTTGTCAATGGTGAAGTAGTTGAGGTTGTTTTGATCGGATTGAGTTAGTGACCTGAAGGTGTTTGATGAAATGCCTGAATGAGCCTTCTTTAAGAACTTTTATGAATATACTGACAGATGTTAGCCCTCACTTGCATGAAACTGTAAAGCAATCAATTGGAATGGTAAACTGCTTAAAATGCTTAGCTTGGACACATCCTTTGAGTGAGCCAGAAAAACTTGCAGCCTTATGATTTCAGGAGGGGAACAGATTGGACTTGTGCTACAGAATCATCTCTTTGAGTTGTCACTATTCATTAAAGCTTTGATTAAGTTGAAAGGAAATTTTAATCTTGCGACAAAAGCTGATGATTATAGGCCGTTTCAAGTTGTTCTTTTAAAAGACTTTTTCAGTAATCTTCACGTGCCCCTCTGGGTTTCGAGGAGAGAGATGCCATGCCTCAAATGGCTATGATTAGATTCAAATAAAGGAATGGCCCTACTACTAATTGTCTTGATTTGGGCAAGAATGATCACCTCACCTCTCACCCTCTCTCTAACCCAAAAAGCAGCCTGCTTTTGGTTGTTTACTTTATCCCCTTCACAGGTATTTGATATTTTGTGCTTTTGTAAATGGTCAAATTCTTTGGTTTTACTCCTCCCCAGGTCATTATAAGGTTACAAAAGGTAACCCTTTGGCCGTGTCTTTTAATAAAGATTTTACATTTCTGAAGTATAAGATCATAGACTTAAGCACCACTCCGAGTAGTCGGTTGTAGAGTAAAACGAAACATTCCACATGTGGAAACCTCTCCCTAACAGACTCGTTATAAAACCGTGAGGTTGACGGCGATACGTAACGTGTCAAACCGAACAATATCTGTTAACGATGAGTTTAGCCTGTTTCAAATAGTATCAGAGTCAAACATAGGGCGGTGTGCCGACGCTGGCTCCTAAGGGAGATGGATTGTGAGATCCCAAATCGATTGGAGAGGGAAACGAAGCATTCCTTATAAGGGTGTGGAGACCTCTTCCTAGTAGAAGCATTTAGGCTAACGACGATATATAACGGGTCGAAACGGACAATATTTGCTTAAGCTATTACACAACTAGAACGAGGACAGGGAATCATAGGACAGCTTCTTTCTGTAAGTTGGACCATTCAAGAAAGTGTAGGCGACTCCATTTTTCTAAAGCTAGGAGTGATGACTTGATTGTCACTATTATGTTAAGCCAATTAGAAAAAGAGAGGATCCTGTGTAGCTAGCAAGGCCAGTGGGATGCATCTGCCACAACTCAATTATTGTTAAATTACATAGCTACAAAATGCAACCAAAAGGCATAGGTAGGTGGGTGGGTAGGTTGGTCAAATGTGAGAAATGGTTTGTATAACTCTATGGTATTGTTTAACATATTTAATACAATCAAAACAACAATAGAATATGAACATAATCAATGCTTATCACTTGTACCAAACATGGGTGTTGTGGCTTCTGCCTGTTTGCCAGTTTCAGTCATCGCCCTCTACATTATTCAACCAAACCTAATCCATTCCATTAGGCGATGCTATAGATTGTATTTTATAGTCTAGATTTTGAAACTCTGTCCTATCTATCCGTATACAGTTATTAAGGAGCACTGTAACAGCTCAAATCCACTGCAAATAGTTATTATTCTCTTTGAACTTTTTCTTTTGGACTTCTGCTCAAAGTTTTTAAAACGCGTTTGCTTGGGAGAGGTTTCTAAACTTTGTAAGGAATGTTTTGTTTCTCTCTCCACCAATGTGGGATCTCACAATCCACCCCTCCTTAGGAGCGCAACGTCCTCGTTGGTACACTGCCCAGTGTCTAGCTTGAATACCATTTATAACAGCCCAAGCCCACTGTTAGCAGTAAGCCTCTTAATAACTCGTTTCTCTATATAACTGAGGCACAAGTACATGTGATGGCTAGCCTAACACTTATTAGTGCTAAAACGGGGACGGGTGAGGAAGGCTTATTGTTCATGCCCGATGGGCGCCCCTAGTTGTGTAATAATGGCTAGAGCATTGAAACTAAATCAATAAGCCTATTGGCATACTCCCTTTTGGCCATTTTTCTAATTCATACACCAACTTTGCATACCAGAAACACCCAATTAAACTCCACTTTCAACCTTCATTATATATACAGAAAGATGGATGGTTTCAGTTGGCATTTTGTACTGAAATTGCGCAAGTTGTTGAGCAAGAAATTGAAGCCTAAAATTTCTCTGCCACTGAGATTCCAAGCATTGTGTAGTGCTTGTGCTCCAAACTGGCTCCACATTGACTGAACTCTCTTCTTCCTACCAAAACCATACATTATTGAGCTTTGGGGCTCTAAAATATAATTTGATGTCTCACTCCCAACAGACAACCCATATGATATTCTCTCCTAATAATACTTTAAACATATATTTCGTACAAAAATGGCTTAATCTGATCTGTAGAGCAATTATTAAAATGGTGCATATTGGGTGTGCTTACGAGGGAGGGAGGATGTAAAAGTCCAACTTCACCACTAGCAGATATTTTTCGTCTTGACCTGTTACGTATCGTCGTTAGCCTCACAGTTTTAAAACTCGTTTACTAGGGAGAGGTTTCTACATCCTTATAAGAAATATTTCGTTCCTCTCTCTAACCGATGTGAGATCTCACAAGTTGATACATTTTAGCAAGTGCTATATTATAATACTTAATACTCTAACTTTATCTTCAATAAAGTATCGAAGGTTGATATGGTTTTTAGTTGAAGTTATTTTAATAGTCCAAGGCAAAAGGAATTTTGGATTTTTTTAGTACAAGAAAGAAAAGAAGGGACGACGTAAAAGAATACATAAACATTTCATTTTTTGTTTTAGAACTTTTTCGTCTTAAAAATATTTATGAATAAAAGCACGAACTCAAGTAAAAATTATTGGGTATGTTGTACGTAATCGTTCAAAACTTTATGGTAAGATCTAAAACAATAAAAAGGAAAAGAAAAAAAAAAGTAATTGATAGGTTGATTAGAGAAGAAGTAATTGGGTATTCAAAAGCAAATTGTGAAGTAATAGTAAACCTAAGCTTAAATAATAAGTAGAGTGAAGATTGTGAGTACCCAAAATCACATGCCCCACTCATTATTGGTTCAATTTTTCATACAAAAATAAAAACATTAATTTTTAGGTCAATTATCCCTTGTGGGTTTTCCTTTGGGAGGAGACAATTCAAAATGGAGATGAATATAACCCACAAGCCCATTTTAGACCGACATATTTAGGTCGCCCACGAGCCGACCTGAGGACACTTGATCGTCTCCCTTTTAATGATATAAGGGAACACTTCGACTTAGTCTCGACCAGGACCAGGTATAGGACTTGCTTCCAAAATTATGTTCACGTAATTGTATGAACTTGATACTAATGTTGGGATTCAAGCACTCTAAACATAAGGCATACAACCCGAACTCCAACCTCAACCCTGGTGATGTGAGATCTTATCTTCATATTTTACTCCTGACCTAACCTCAATGTGCTCGATTAGGTTACCACATCAAAAAATGATTTTCTATTTTATCAAAATCATAAAAGTGAAAATTATTGTGTGACATAAAGAAGCTTGGTTTCGTTTTTTAATTTTTTTTTTTCGTTCAAATTTATTTATAAAAATTGATAAGTTTGGGCTTCTTGGGCTTGGGAGATTACGGAAAGTTTACCAATTGGGCCATCACCAGTACAGCCCAATTACATCGGCCCAAAAACGATCTAACTAAACACAGCTCCACGATTTATTGTTATTATTTTAAAAAAGAAAAAACGGTTTATTATTTATTTTTATTAGGGATTGATTATCCATTCTTACAAGTAATAATTAGTCTTTTAAAAAAAAAGTATATTTTTATTTTATCCTTAAATATATAACAAATGAACTTTATATTACATTATAACGATACAATGAGTTATATTAGTGATTCAACTGAGATATTATTTTATAGCAAAAATGTGAAGAAGTCAAAGGCCTACCTGTACCCTTGAAGCAAAATATTTTTATCCTCCGACCCCAATTCCAATTTCGAATCTTAAGAGTCATATGACCGACCATGTTGATCTCTTTAAGATGAGACAATGGATTGCATGAACTAACTCATGTACACAGCCTAAGTGACAGATCCCATAAATTAAGCTATTCTAACTGAAATGGTAGGTATCATGAGTTGAGTTGAGTTGACTTTTGAGTTGAGTTGACTTATTCGACCGGTAAGAAAGATACTTGCACGTGTGCTATATCTATTGCTTCATCCAGAGTGAGATGGGCCCTTTTCATTTAGAAACTTTATGTCAAGGGCACAATTTCATATTATTTAATTAAAAAAAAATAGTTGAATTCAACGGAGGCAAACAGCTGGAGGATCGGAGGGTCCACGTGGACGAATCAAAGAAGAGCGAATAAGAAAATTGACGGTGACCGGTCAAAGTCCGTCCTCCTCACTATGTCTATATAAATCCGTAATCTCCATACTCAAAACCTCAAGCTCCGGTTTCAATGGCGGCCTCCACTTCCCTCTCATTCTTCTCCTCTATTCTCTTCCTCCTCCTCTCCTCCGCCATTGCCGCCACCTCCTTCCGCCCCAAGGCTCTCCTCCTCCCCGTCACAAAAGACCCATCTCTCCAGCACATCATCCAGCTCCGGCAGCGAACCCCTCTGGTTCCGGTGAAGCTGACGGTGGACCTGGGTGGTCAGTTCATGTGGGTCGACTGTAACCGCGCCTATATCTCTTCCACTTACAAGCCCGCTCGTTGCCGCTCCGCCCAATGCTCCCTCGCTTCCAAGTCCACTTCCTGCGGTCAGTGCTTTTCGCCGCCCAGACCCGGCTGCAACAACAACACTTGCGGCCTCTTCCCCGGCAACAACATTATCCATCTCTCCACCAGCGGAGAAGTCGCCTCCGACGTCGTCTCTGTTTCCTCCACCAATGGCTTCAACCCAACCACCCCTGTCTCCGTCCCCAAATTTCTCTTCGTCTGCGGCACCACATTTCTCCTCGACGGCCTCGCCGGCGGCGTAACTGGAATGGCCGGATTCGGACGCACCGGAATCTCTCTGCCATCTCAATTCGCAGCCGCCTTCAGCCTCAATAGAAAATTCGCCATTTGCCTGAGCAGCTCCACCAGACTCCCCGGCGTCATCTTCTCCGGCAACGGCCCGTACAATTTCCTACCCAATATCGATTTAACCAAATCCTTCACTTACACCCCACTCTTTATCAATCCCGTGAGCACCGCCGGCGTCTTGTCCGCCGGGGAAAAATCCGCAGAGTATTTCATCGGCGTCAAATCCATCGTCATCAACTCCAAAACCGTCCCACTCTGTTAGAATTGGTCAATCCATTAGAATAGCTTGAAGTTAGTCATGCCATAAGAATAGGCTTACTTCGTTAGTTTCCTATGAAATCGGATCTATTAGTTAATCTTTTGCCAATATAAATAGAATATGTCCTCAATAGTGTGA